TATATATATATATATATATATATATATATATATATATATATATATATATATATATATATATATATATATATATATATATATATATATATATATATATATATATATATATATATACATATAGTGCATATATGTGGATGTGGGCATGTGTATGTGTATATATATATATTCATATATATAATTATATATATATAATATGCATATCTAAATATGCATACTCATGTTCAGACATACAGTACATTAGCATTGCATGAACATATATATATATATATACACGTATACAAAAACATATACTTATAATAGAGTATAAAATAGAAATACACTGGTTTATTGAAATATAATAGTAATGGAAATGGAGATTGTGGTAATTGCACTGAAATTATTATTGGGTTATTACACCTACTCCCGTATCCACCTGTCGTTTGTTCGCCCTCCTCCCACCCACTGAAGAGTTAAACAGTTTAAACAAACCCAGGATTCGCTGCTCTCTGCTTCAGAGGCAGGCGTGCTAACTCTACACTATAGAAACAACTATTATATATATTATATGGCCAAATACAAATATATATATATATTTTAAATGTATTAATATTTGAAATATTTCAATAAAACAAAAGGATTGTATAAAATATATAACAATAAATCCTTTTATATATTTTTTTGTAATAAATTAGTTTTTGAGTAGTCGTGACATTGTGACGTTGACGATTTCCCTCTTTTTTAGCATTTTAGCATTCAACCATTCGTTCAATAATAGGATAGCTACGTATCAGTAAATAGGTCCTACCAAAAATGGATATTTAGCCATTTTTAAAACGTACTTCTTCAACTACAGCAGTTAAACAAGAGCCGGCTGGGCCTGCATGTGATCCAGACGAGGAAACACCCGGGACCAGCTCTAGAATACCAAGCCCAGCTAACTCCAAATTACATCTAGCACCAGGGCTGCCATTGGGCCAATTAGCCAGCTTGCCCCCAGTAGCCTGCTCTTTAGGAATTTCCTACAAAAGTATTTGGAAAGAGTATTTTGTTCCAACAATAAATTGCTTTCTATCGACATGGAGGCCAATGCTGAAAGCTGCGTCTGTCCAGTCATGTTTCTTGCACATGTTTGAATTCCCTTTAAGGCAGAGAATGACCGCTCAACAGAAGCAGTGGACACAGGGATTATGATTGCCAAACAAGCCAGTGCATAAAGCTGTCCCATACTCAGTTCTTTGTTCCTAAGAAAATCAAGGAGACTTCCTTCCAAATCAACCATGGCATACATTTCAGTCAGTTCTGTTTTTAGTCGGGACAGGTCGAACTGTGTGCCGTGATTTTGTGTTAAGCTGGAAAAGGCCGTTTGCAGGAACTTCCTCTGGTATGTCTGAAAGTGCTGGGGGTCGAGAAGGGAGAGTCTTGAAATCGATTCCAAATCTGGCAAAGAATGTTGTCCAGAATGTTGCTGTGGAGTTGTTGATAGTGTGCGCGAAAGTCACCTTGGCCTCTACCAACGCTTAAAGCCCCTGAGATGCTCACTTTTTCTTCATAGATCTGATTTAATTTGCCCTTCGCATGCTCACCTGTGTCACAGAACTCGTTCACGCTTGCCATGCAGTATTGTACATACATTGTTTTCTTCTGTAGTATTCCAAAGAGCACACCAGCATGCTCAAAAAGCCCATTAAATGTGTTGAGCAAAAAAACAAAACTCAAAATCATCCAGACGCTTAATAATAACTCCTTCTTCTTGTTGTGTTACGGCAGTAAGTGAGTATCCAATCACAGGACGCACACATGTCATGTGCAACGTGAGGCCAGCTAGAAGGCCTACTGTCAACAATTCGTGATCTGATTGGCTATCGCAACTATCTATCAACTGCATGTGCCCGTTCGCTTCGGTTCGCTTACATTGCACAGATTATTCGTGATCTGATTGGCTATCGCAACTATCTATCAACTGCATGTGCCCGTTCGCTTCGGTTCGCTTACATTGCACAGATTCCCGCATTGTTGATTCTGAAGGCCTCAGGCAGATTTCATACAGCCTGGCAACAGCTAGCTGAATTCTGATTGGATAAAAACTAAAAACAACAACACTGGAAGGAGCCTAATATGATATGAAGAGAATATGAAGAATATGAAGTATGCTTTTATGTATTTAGGAAAAGTAAATTAAAAATAAAATGAACTTTTATTGTGGCGCTTTGGCCCAGAGGCAATGTCTCTGCCACTGGTCTGGAATCCCAGACTTACCACCCGCAGGAAGGTTCGAGTCTGTTGGTACGGTGCAGTGTGATTTGGGTGGAGGTCGTGGAGACTGCTGCCCCGTGACCCGGTAATGGATAAGTGGATGAAAAGATCACTAAGATCACTAAGTCTCCCCTGTTCATCCCAACTACAGTCGGGGCTCCAAAGCAGGAAATAGCTAACGTGTTATCAGCCGTGTTACAGGCACTGTTCAGAAAAAAAAAAAAAAAATTAAGTAAAAGTGAAAAAAACATTCTGTGTAAATATCCCATGTTACGTGTACAATTATTATTATTTTTTAAATTTTGTGGGTGCAGCTTATGTTTCAGGTGCGCTCAGTAGTCCAGAAATTACGGTATCTCTCTTTTGTTTCCGAAGACTAAACAATGGCAAAATAGTAACAGAAATCAATGGTTAAAAAGGACAGTCTCTTTTCATACCTGCAGAGCAGCAATATCAAAAGCCTCGGTGTCCTCCTCACCGCCTCCTTCATCATCATAAGTGATGATGTTCTCCCTGATGTCCTCCTCTTCAAAAAGTATTAACGGCTCTTTCTTTTGACGCCTCAGTGCAACAAACAACACCACAATGGCTGTCAATGAGAAATAAATGCGTCAGTAATGCTTGGCTTTTAAAAAACACCACACACAATCTCTGCCAGTGTGTAAATAAAAAGCTATCCAAATAGTAATGTTTTTAGAGTTTAAAAGAGTTTATTTAGCAATATTGACATTATATGCAGAGACATAAAATGCTACTTAAACCTGTGTTATTTTGGTTTACTTATAATTGTGGGTGTAATTGAAAATGGATTGGCTCACTAGTATACAAATACAAAGAACAGAAAAAAATAACTGAACAAGTGGGGACCAAATGGGAGGAAACGTTAAGAGAAAATTCAATCACAGCAAGTAGACTGTCCAGGAGTAGGCTAAACTGAACATGTTTCAAACTCTTGGATTAAGTCAATTTAATTTCATGAGACCAGACCAGGTGTGGGCAAACGTTTTGACTCACGGGCCACAATTGTCCTAAAATTGAACGGGGGGCCGGGTCAGGAGCAGATAGATGGAGTGTTCATGTGAACTAAGATAAATGGCATGTAAAAGTCATGCATATAGGCTGCAATTCTAAAATGTTTTTATCATTTCCTAAGCAATCTATTGGGGAAATGTGGGTATTGTAGGGA